TTGCACTCACCCTGCTTGTTGGTCCATCCTCTTGATCTGCTTACACGGGGTGCGCTGGCCTTTCTCAGAGAGACAGAAACATAAAGGAGGGTCGTTCTGATGTTATGCAGGCTGCCCTGTGTTTTGCAGCTAGAATGGAGGAATGCCCGAGTATTACAGGAGCTGATGGCCCAGGGACTGCCTCATTTCAGAGGTGAGCCCTGGGATTACAGGGAGCATGCCCATGTTCCTGGGCAGGCAGTGACGTCCTTGCCCTTCCCAGAAGCTTATAGGGAGTGACAAAAGGCCCAGAAAATGATTTCTTTTTTTCTTTTTAGATTTATTTATGTATTTACTTGGGCCCGGTGCAGTGGCCTAGTGGCTAAAGTCCTCACTTTGAACATGCCAGGATCCCATATGGGCGCCGGTTCTAATCCTGGCAGCTCCACTTCCTATCCAGCTCCTTGCTTGTGACCTGGGAAAGCAGTCGAGAACAGCCCAAAGCTTTGGGACCCTGCACCCGTGTGGGAAACCCGGAGGAGGTTCCTGGTTCCCGGCTTTGGATCAGCGCAGTACCAGCTGTTGCGGCTCACTTGGGGAGTGAATCATCGGACAGAAGATCTTCCTCTCTCTGTATATCTGACTTTGTAATAAAAATAAATAAATCTTTTTTAAAAAAAGATTTATGTACTTACTTGAATTATTTTTAAAGATTTATTTATTTGAAAAGCAAAGTTGACTGAGAGGGAAAAATAGAGAGGGATCTTCCATCCCTTAGTTTGCTTCCCAAATGGCCATAATGGCTGGGGTTAACTGGGCCAAAAAGACGATTCCAGAGCTTCTTCCCTGCCTCCCATGTGGGTGCAGGGACTCAGGCACTTGGGCCATCCTTGCTTCTTTCTCAGGCACATAGCAGGGAGCTGGATCAGAAGTGGAGCAGCCGGATCTTGAACCATTGGGCAGTGGTGCTGCAGGCAGAGGCTTAACTTGTTAGACCACTATACAAGACCCTCATTTTATCTCTTACAGAGATAATGCTGTCTATGTGAAAGTAGAATTGTCAAGCACTGACGTTTCTCATGATGTCAGTGATTTTTATTTCAATCTCAAGCATATGTCTGTACTTTCACTATACCTATAATATGATAGAAAACTCAAGACTGAAGATGTTCTGTATAACATTGTAACCATGCTTTGTTTGGTTTTCTTCCAGGGCAGACTTTCTATTTTAGAAATCTGTACAAAAACCATGCCAATAGGGTCTGATGTTTCCTTGGAACACCTGGCAGCAGAAACGTGCTTTTTCTCTGGAGCTGACCTCAGAAACCTCTGCAAAGAAGTAAGAAACCTGTAGTTCAAAACATTCCTCCTTTCACTCCAGAGTTGATTGACATGGCAGTGTTCTGTGAAAGACTTCTGAGTAGCAGGTGCCATGCACTGTGAAATAGGGGTGCAGCCTCGTTTCCTTACAGCACAGGCAGACCACAGTATTGCCTTGGTGATTGCAGCTACAGAGTCCTTTGGGGGAAGTTCAGGGTGCTTTTATGCCTAGAAGGGTCCTGACCCAGACTTGGAAGGCTCAGGGAGGCTTTCTGGCAGAAGAGGAAATTGGCAGAGTGATGAGGGTATTAGCCAGCTAAGGGAGGTAAACTGCAGGGCTGGGCTTTGAAAGAAGACATGACACTCTTGAAGCTTACAGTGGGGAATGGCAAGAAATAAGCAGATGAAGTGAACAATGGCCAGATGTCACAGGTCCCTGGAATCCACTGTAAAGCAATTAGGCTCTTTATTTTAGGGCAGAATATATCTTTTCCTCACCCATAAACTTCTGCTAAATATGGCTTTGTGTAATGCACAGATTAAAAGTATATAGTTACTAATATGAAGTGGACACACTATGAAGTGTCATTGTTATAACCATCACTAGTGTAGGGACAGGAGCGCTCAGTTCTCCGGCCGCTCCTCAACCTTCTCCAGCGACTGGCCTGGCCCTGGAGGTCAGGGCTGCTGCCTGGGATCATCACACAAATGAAGGTTTCTCTGCTCCTTTAACACAAAATGGTGTTTTTGAAATTCATCCATGGTTTTGTGTATAGCCATAGGTTTTCCACTGCTTTATAATATTCTAGTATGTTAGTTTACTGCATTTATTTTTATTTATCCAATCTCTTCTTTTTGAGCATTTGGGTTTCTCCTCTGTTGCTGTTATGAACTGTGGTGCTGGGAATAGTCTTATACATGTCTCCAGATGTGCATTTATGTCTGGTCCATGTGTGTGTAACTGGAAGATCTTTTGCTTAAGTTTATAACTCAGGTTGTCAAAACTTACCTATTCCAAGGCCAAGAAGATACTTTCTCATTATTAAAAAATATGTATGGGCTTGTGTTAGGTTTAATAACCTACAGGTTGACTCTTCCTGTTTAAGGCTGAAGTTTAATGGAGAAGTAGTTATGGGTCTGCTGCATATATTTTTAATCACTTTAAATTTGTTAGCTTAATATTTTTAGTGCCAGAAATACTGGAATCCTGTGAAATGCAACTGGGATTTTGTATTCTGATTTTATAGTATTGCCAAATATCCTGAAAAACAAAAAGTTGAAGCCAAGTGAGTGTTGTCCTACTGCTTGTCCCTTCCAGGCTGCCCTGCTCGCTCTCCAAGAAGATGGACTGCAAGCAAGCACAGTGAGACAAGAGCATTTTCTACAGTCGCTGAAGATCGTAAAACCGTCTTTAAGCCACGAGGACCTGACTTCATATGAAAACTTAATTAAGAAAGATTTCTAGTTTAGAAGATATTCAAGAATAACTTTACATTCTTGTTGGGTTGTTTGCATTTACAAAATGGGACCTTGCCTGCATTTTGTGACTTCACACGTTATGAGAGTATATATTTGCCTTGTAAATAAAACAAAACAAACCTTGTGTGAGAATTAATTCTAACTCTGATTAGTTGGTCTTTAACAGTTTTGTTGCATTTCCAAGTTGTCTGTCCCCACTTCTTATGTAGGCACATGTATGCACACTTTTCTAATTGATGTCAGAGTAGATTATAGGCATCATGCCCCTTTTCTCCCTTGGAACTTAAAGAGTGTATTCCTTTCTCATAAGGTTAATTTTCTTGTAGGACCACAGTGCAATTTCCAGACTTAAACAGTGTTACTTTATACATATTTTAATCTACCACTGAGTGAAGTTCACTCATGATCTCAATATCTACTGTAGTAGTTTGCTTCCCATTACAGAATCTAGGACCCCACGCTACATTAGCAGTCGTTGCAGCTTCTTTGGAAACAGTTTTCCTCAGTCTTTTCCGGATCTTGCTATTTTTGAAGCTCACGGACCAATGAATAGTTCCTGGGTTTGTGTTTTTGGATGCTTTGCTGTAGATGGAGATAAGTGCATCACCAGTGGTGGACTTATGGCAGAAGTGGGCGGCCCCTGAGTATCACAGCTGGACACATGTAATATCTACCCATTGCTGGTGGTACAAACTTTTCCTTAAAACAGCCTCGGGAGTCTGGCAGGAAGAGCACTAAAAGGCTTGTGTGTAATGCAATCCATGGGTTGGATTGTCTTCTAAGCAGTTGATGCAGATTTAGTTCGCCAGCCCATGCCTGCAGTTAGAGATCTGGCCTTGGCCCGATGAGCATCCCAGCCAGAATAAGAAAGTGGGAGACAACATTATGATCACTTACAAAGAACATCTGTATATCCTGTTTAGTGAATGCCAGTTACAGGCAGGGTAGGATGGCACAGTTTCTAAACATGCTAACTTTCTTTTAAAAAATATTTGTATTGGAAAGGCAGATTTACAGAGAGAAGACAGGTCTGTCTGCTATTTCACTCCCCAATTGGCCTCAGTGGCTGGAGTTTAGCCATTCCAAAGCTAGGAACTTCTTCCAGATCTCCCACACGGGTTGCAGGGTCCCAAGGCTTTGGGCCTTCCTCAACTGCTTTCCCAGGCCACAAGCAGGGAGTTGGATGGGAAGTGGGGCAGCTGGGACATAAACTGGCACCTACATGGGATCCCGGTGCATGCAAGGCAAGGATTTAGCTACTGAGCCATTGCACCGGAGCCTGCAGTTTCCTCTTGAGCTAGGTTTGTCTCCAGTTTGCAGACATAAACTGAATCTCATGAATCTTATGTAGCTTTCCTGAAGTCAGCCGGTGAGTGTGAGCTGGATCTGGCCCTTTCCAGGGAACATGTTAACTTTAAATGACAGCTGGAACTTCAAACCTTCCCTGGACTTGGTTCTAGCAGCTAGCAGCTGATGTCGGAGCCACGCAGCTGCAGGACCCCGGCATTTAGGCGTCTGATTCAGCGCCCACCTTGGAAAGTGCCCAGAGGAACCCTGCTTGGTGCCTGGTGCACGGCATCCCAGTTTAGCGTAAATGCAGTCATTCTGAGGCAGACTTAGGAGCAGAGGCTGCTGGTTTTAGGGGACAGTCAGGAAGAGCAGCAATCCTCTTGGAAGCTTCTCAGGTGACACTGCTTTCTTTCAATCTTGTTGCTGTGGTGCTTTTCCTTCAGCCTTCTTGTTGCTGTCTTAATGGATAAACTCACCCCAGGAGTTAATCCACAAGAAACTGCAATTAGGCAATAATTATCTCTGACTGTGTGCTGCATCACACTTCAGAGCTTTTATCGTGATAAGATTACGATAAGATTACGATAATTCTGTTGGCACGTGTGCATCTGGAAGCCTCACTCGGGACCATCCAGGGTGCAGGGTCAACACTGGTAACGGCTCCCCACCCCCGCCAAGGGCCTCCCTTTTGAAGGGTGTATCTTTTTTCTAGGGTGTATCTTTTTTAGACTTGGCCATCAGCGCTCCCCCTTTTTAGCTTCCACCTCCCACACCCAAAGCATCGTCTAGGACCATAGCAGGTGCCCCGCGCAGCCAGGAGCGACCGACGGCGAGCGGCAGGGGGCGCCCGCGTCCCAGGGAAGGCGAGTCCAGGTCCCGCACACCGGGCGCCCCGGGCCGCGTGACCAGAACACCCAGGCCCGGCCCTTCCGCGGCGGTTGCGGTCGGTATATAAGATGCGGAGGGCAGGTTCGGTTTCAGCGTCGGCTTCCCTCGCGCCGCCCCGTCCTCCCGCCAGGTGAGGGGTGTCCAGGCTCGGGCGCGGCTGAGCTGCCTCATGGTGGAGTTCGGAATATGGGGGACGGTTTAGGGACCCGCCAGGATGGGTCTCTACGGCCCAAGGTTTTTGTCACTATCTTGTTTTTAAATTCTAGATTGCACATCCTACGCTGAAGTCGTCATGGGCCTTTTCCAACTTCTGATGAAGAAGAAGGAAGTAAGTTTTGAAAGCCCTTACACCTCTTGACTGAAAGTGTCCCTTGTGAAAGATGAAAAGAGGCTGGGCGTTTGGAAGCGAGTGCGAAAATGCACTGGCTGCTCTGTAATATTCCAGAAATGCTCCCCTTACTAACCTTGTGTCTGTCAGCTTATTCCTTTAGTGACTTTTATAAGCTTTGCGGCGGTCGGAGCCTCATCCTTTGCTGTGTATTCCTTGCAGAAAAGCGATGTGATGTAAGTAGGCTTGGTGGGTGATGGTGGGGGCCTTAGGATAAGGATGACTGTGAACTCGGGGTCAGAGCTCAGAAGCACCCTTCTATCAGGAGACTGTGAAACCATGGGCAATATTAGGATTAGCTTGTTGCTTGTGTCTGCATAGCTTGGCATCCATTGGCCCTGCCCTGCTCCCCCTCTGTGTAAAGTGTGGCTTGTTGTTGTTGTTTTTTAAGTTTCAAAATGTGAAATTCTTAAATTTGGGAGCTGGGAGGAGAGGAAGGAGAAGGATATATATTAGCAAATCTAAATCATCATTTTAATTAAGTGTTAAAATGTCAACTTGTTAGAATGCTGTTTCCCACTGTGGTAGAATTCAGTCGTCTGCCAGGAGCCACTCTTGAATTTTAGATATAAGAAGGGAAAGCTATAAATATATAGCACTTCTGGGATAGAGGAATATATGCTTTGCTGTATGTATGCTGTATGTAAGATGGTGACACACCACGTACCTTGGAATGGGAGAAACAGAGAAACTTGAAATTGACCTGGAGGAGTGCTGGCTGGAGAAGACAGAGTTCAGCTCCTCCAAGCTGCAGCCGAGCCCCTGGCCCCGCCTAGAACCCAGGAGGAGGACATGGCGGCTTGTCCTGACTGGCTTCCACCTTCATTGCTGCCTATTTGTGGAGATTAGTCTAGTCCCACAGTAGGAATATAGACCTCTGTCCTACATAGGGATTCATCTCTTTCTTTCTTTCTTTTCAAGATTTATTTTTATTGGAAAGTCAGATTTACACAGAGGAGAGATAGCAGGAACTTTAAACTGCTGGTTCACTCCCCAGGTGGCCTCAATGGCCAGAACTGAGCCAGTCCGAAGCCAGGAAACAGGAGCTTCTTCTGGGTCTCCCACATGGGTGCAGGGTCCCAAGGCTCTGGGCTGTCCTCTACTGCTTTCCCAGGCTGCAGGCAGGGAGCTGGAAGGGAAATTAAACAGCCAGGTTATGAACTGGTGCTCATATGAGATCCCAATGCATGCAAGGCAAGGACTTTAGCCACTAGGCTAATGTATCAGACTTGAGGAATTAATTTCTTCTTTTTTTTTTTTAAAGATTTGTGTATTTTTATTGGAAAGTCAGATATACAGAGAGGAGGAGAGACAGAGAGGAAGATCTTCCATCTCTTAATTCACTCCCCAAGTGGCCACAATGGCCGGAGCACAGCTGATCTGAAGCCAGGAGTCAAGACCTTTTTCTGGATCTCCCATGCAGGTGCCGGTTCCCAAGGCTCTAGGCCATCCTCGACTGCTTTCCCAGGCCATAGCTGAGTGGGAAGTGGAGCAGCTGGGGCATAATCTGGCACCCATATAGGATCCTGTGGCAAGTCAAGGACTTTAGCTGCTAGGCTACCATACCACGCCCCTGAGGGATTAATTTTTGATGTGTGAGTCAAACTGTGCAGCTCCCTTAAGGACTCTTCTGTCACTTTTGACAACTGCTGATGGTTTCTAGTAGATGTCTTACGGATGGATGCTTATGTGTGAAGACCGAGTCTGTCTCTAACATTGAAAGCGTTGGTTTAAGCGAGGTAATGTTCAGTGTACTTTCTTTTACTTTTAGCATTGATCGGAAAAGAAATCCAGAACCCTGGGAGTCTGTGGATCCAACTGTACCTCAAAAGGTATTACTAGATGCAAACTAAGCGATTTCTGTTTAGCCCAAACCTTAGCAGCTTTGTCAGTAACTTAGGTTGAATACCTTAGATGTGCAGGTTACCACTAAATGTGGTGTCCAAGGGACTGCTTTGGAGAAGTTCAATCCTTGATGTTATCCTGGGTAACTGGAGACAATGAACCTCTGCAAAGCTTTCTGAGTCTATGAGATGGGCCCAATAATACAGCTCTACCTCGGATAAAGAGAAGTAAGGAAAAGTACGCAGAACCCTTTAGCACAGCACCCGTGCCATAGTTAGCGCTGAAATACACACCCTTATTGCCACTGGAACACCTCATCCATCACTTATCAAAAGTTAAAGTAAGGCTGATCTGGTCAGGAGAGGACCTCCTGGAAACAGGTGTGGCCTTCTCTCCAAGTGAAATGAATTCACAATCTGCTCACTGTTGCAGAGGGTTGCCCTTTGACATTGGAAGTGTCTGGCAAGTCGCCAGCACTGAGCTTACCCGGGTCCAGCAGGAGAGCCTTGCTTTTCCTGTCATGCTGACTCTCCGATGGCAGTCTCACCCAGAGAAGGACGTTAGGGTCCTGAAAGCTACCCCCAGCACCGAGGGGGAATAGAAAGCTTGGGGGGACAAACAGGGGCCCTTTGAAGGTGAGGCCAGTGGGCATCAAGAACTGTCCACAGATGGTTGCGTGTCCTTTATCGTGGAACTTAGGCCAGCTATATCTTCACTGACCAATTACAGGGAGGAAGTTTTAGCAACAGCCTATTATGTGCTAAGCCTTTGCTAAGAGTGCATGTTTTAGGACTCAGGGCTCATGGAATACCTTGTCAGACTTTAAAGACCTTCAGAGTTTCTGCTGAGAGCAGGGCAAATGTGTAGGACCCTTGTCTCCACTCTCTTAGCACTTTAAAAAGCGAAGGCTTTTGGGAGGGCTAGCATGGTGGTAGAACCAAGCTGGCTGTTACCGCTATTGTGTGTTCTAGAGCTGGGGTGGTGTTTTTGTTTCCTGTTTTTGTTTGTTTTTTGACTGCAAACTCTACAAGATGTTTTTTCCCCAAAGGGGTACAGGGACAAATCCCCAAGGGGTATGAGGAGGAAACACAGATCCTTCATGTTTTTGTTTCCATTTTCTTAAAGCTTGTGACAATCAACCAACAGTGGAAGCCCATTGAAGAGTTGCAAAAGGTCCGCAAGGCAACCAAATGAGCAGTCGTCACCTCTTCTTGCAAAGAGTACTCTATGAATCTAGTGGAAACATTTCCGCACAGACTTGATTATGGGTGGCAGTGTGCGGAAGTGCTTCTGCTACATTTTTAGGGTTTGCCTCCATTTTTTCTGGACTCTGGATAAAGAATTAAAGGTAGCTCAGTCCTAACTACATAGTCCAAACATAAGTTTTGGTGTTTATTATTGTAAATTTTGAATTTTGCATATTGGAATTTGTGTGTTTCTGATGCCAGGATGTTTTTTTCTTTTTCTGAAATGTATAGATTTGTACATGAGATGCCTATAATAAAACAACATTTGTGCAAGATTTTGCAATGGTTGCATGTATGTAAATGGCAGAGGAAATCTTTTTATGGGAGGAAAAATATACATTATGAAGCACGAAATGGAAATGGTTCCTAGTACAGGTTTCTGTGTGAGCTTTTCTTGCAAGTTCACCCATCCACGGACACGTACTGAGCAGCCGCCCTTCACAGTGAAGTCATGAACAAAGCCACAGTCTGGAGGAATTCAAAACGAAGTCGGTAAGTACAGTGAGGAAGATGAAGCAGGAGTGGCGGGGGTTGGGTTGCCTGGGAGGTGATGCTGGGACTCCTTGGTGAATAGAGACTGGGGTCAGCTGACAGCAGCCTCACGCCTAAGTATCTCATCAGGAAGAAGCCCACACCTGCTGTGGGGTGTGTTTGGACGGTTGGGGGCGAAGATGGTCAATGCCCTGCTGGGTCGGGGGTTCCTCTTCACGCTCACCCATGGTGACTCGGAGACTGAAGGTGCCATCACACCCAGCACACCCCTTGGGCACCCTGGACTGTTCTTAAACATGAAATCAAGCAGAATGTTGCTTTTCATTAGCTCCTTTTGAAAATTAAGATCTATGCTATGAACACGTGTTGTGGTGTTTACTCATTGACATTGCACAACTTAGTAATTTTAGTATATGCACGAAGTTGTTTAAGAATTTCCACCTGATTCCAGAACATTTTCCTCACTCCTGAAAGAATGCCACACGCACCAGCAGGCACTTCCCCCACTCAGACCTCTCTGCTCCCAGCTCAAGGCAAACCTAACAAACCTAGTGTCTGTGGATTACCTTGGACTGTCGAAGGAACCACACAGCATGTGGCTTTTGCGTGTGCTCCCTTGACGTCACATCAGTTTTTAAACAGCCACTCACACACACCATGTGGTCAGTGCTTTGTACTTTTCCTGATGAGATACTTAGTATAGCACAGGGTAGCTGTACCACATATTGGTTCTCCATTCCTAAGTTGATGGCAATTGGGTGGTTTCTACTTATTGGCTGTTTATTCATGAATAACGTTAGTACAGACAGCCAGGTGTGGCTGTGTAGTTTCAGTTCTCTTATATACTTAACTTCATGAACACTTTTAGGTTAAAAAATAAAATATTTTTTTCTATATTGTCTGAAACACAAATGCGAAGTTCTTGTCAACTTTACAGCAGTGAACAGTAACTGACTCTTGCTAGAGATTAGGCAATCTTGGAAGGATTAAGTCTGGGCTCCTCCCCTAACCTTTGCTATTTCCTTATCACCTCAATTTCCCCAGATAAAAATCTGGTATCTGATCTCACAAACAATTCCATGTAACATTGGGATCGCTTTTTTTTTTTTTCCTTTTACTGGTTTAAGCTTCCAACAGTAGAATGTCATCAAGGAAATAGCAGAGTGACCACCAAAAGAACAAATTGTAAGTGCTTTTTGGAGGAAAGGATAACTATGCCTCCCTATTTAAAAAAAAAAGACTGACATGCAGCAGCTTAATGGGGCAGACATGGCGATGGAAGGAGCGTTTTGGTGCATTTGGGAGGGGGAGGGTTCCAGAGCAGTGCACACCCTGGGGCTGGGAGAGGGGGCGAGCCCTTGGCTGCCCATGTGAAGGGTCACGGTTGACATTCCCGATTAAAAAAAAAAGGGTGGGGGAGGTTAGCAGGAGAAAAAGCATAATAGATGTGAACATGATTTTGTGAAATCCAGGAGACTCTGGATTAAAGAAACAAAGATCCAGGGACTAAGTATTTTTTTTTTTTCACTTTGAAAGGCAGAGGTACAGAGTGGAGGACCGTGAGAGATCTTACATACATTTGGCCATGGGATCAAAGTGGAGCAACTGGGATCTGGACCCAGTGTCTGTGTGGGATAGTGGCATCACAAGCAGAGACTTAGCCTGCTACGCCACGGCCCCAGCCCAAGTATCCATTCTTATGCTTAGGTTGGACGAAGGTTAGGCAGCCCTGTAGAAATGTGACAGGAAGATGAGCTAATAGTAACAGGCTGAGGGCAAAACCCAGCCGGGCCTGTCTGTTGAGATTCTTGTTGGTCTCTCTATGCGACATGCTTTTCTTCCCTGTCTAGGGCAGGACCTTTTCTGGAATGGGGAATCTTATGACCCATCATCAACAAGACAGGTTGGAGAATTTCTTTATGGCCAACTCTTGCACAGAAAAGTGGGAGTGGGTGGGGTGAAAATTAGAGTAATGTTTTTATTGCTTGTTCTGGCATTAGGGAAAGTCTTGCTTCTGTGCCCATGCTTTTAGGGGTGGCTTAGGGGGGATAGGGGGTCATAAACAAGGGAGGGGCAGAGTACAGCCTTGCCTCTGAGACCTTCACTTTGGGATGTCATTTTATGAATCACGGTTGCTTAACTTTTGAAAGATTTTACTTACAAGGATTTATTTTGTGATTGCGTTCTTCTCTCAAATGCTTTATTATTTTTTTTTAATGTCGAATATTGGGATTCCACTGTAGTGTAGCACACTAAGCCTTGACCTACAGCAACTGATATCCCAAAGGAACATTAGTTTGAGCCCCTCCACTTCTGATTGAACTCCTTGCCAAAGCAGCAGATGGTCCATGGGGGGAGACCTTGATGAAGCTCCTGGCTCTTGGCTTCAGACAGGCCCAGCTCCAGCCACTGTGGCCATTTAGGGAGTGAACCAATGGATGGAAGACCTCTCTGCCTATCTCTCCTTCTCTCTCTGTAACTCTGCCTTTCAAATACAAATAAATATTTTTAAAAGTTAAATATAGGGCCCAGCGTGGTAGCCACGTGACTAAAGTCCTCATCTTGCACACACCAAGATCCCATATGGGCACCAGCAGCCCTGCTTCCCATCCGGCTCCTTGCTTGTGGCCTGGGAAAGCAGTCGAGGACAGCCCAAAGCCTTGGGACCCTGTACCCACATGGGAGATCTGGAGGAAGCTCCTGGCTCCTGGCTTCAGATTGATTCAGCTGTGGCCATTACAGCCACTTGGAGTGAATAATTGGATGGAGGATCTTCCTCTCTGTCTCTCCTCTCTGTATATCTGCCTTTCTAATAAAAATAAATCTTTAAAAAATTATAAAATCTATAAAAATATAAAATGAAATAAAACAAATATGCAGAAAAATCAAAATGTTAGCAAAAGTATTCACACTTTTTATTACCATTTTGCCACAAATTCTGTAGCTCTCTGTATAAATCTCTTATAAAATTGAATGCTTTGAAAATAAGTTTGCATATATCACATTTCTCCACTAAAATCTTTTTTAAAAAGATTTATTTTTATTGCAAAGTCAGATATACAGAGAGGAGGTAAGACAGAGAGGAACATCTTTCATATGATGATTCACTCCCCAAGTGACCACACGGCCAGTGTTGAGCCGATCTGAAGCCAGAAGGCAGGAACCTCCTCCAGGTCTCCCATGCGGGTGCAGGGACCCAAGGCTTTGGGCCATCACTGACTCCTTTGCCAGGGCCACCAGGATTAGAACCAGCACCCATATGGGATCCCAGGGCGTTCAAGTTGAGGACTTTAACCACTAGGCCACTGTGCCGGACCCAAGATCTTTTTGTTTTTATTGCAAGGTCAGATATACAGAGGAGGGATAGAGAGGAAGATCTTCCATCTGATGATTCACTCCCCAAGCAGCTGCAACAGCTGGAGCTGTGCCAATCCAAAGCCAGGAGCCAGAAACCTCCTCCAAGACTTCCACATGGGTGCAGGGTCCCAAGGCTTTGGGCCATCCTCAACTGCTTTCCCAGGTCACAAGCAGGGAGCTGGATGGGAAGTGGGGCCACCGGGATTAGAACCGGTGACCATATAGGATGCTGACACATTCGAGGTGAGGACTTTAGTCGCTAGGCTACTGCATCAGGCCCATTTTATGACTTTTAAAATCAGATACTTTTCCATGTAACTTTAATATCTAAGAAGTTGTACACTGATTAAACATTTACGGGCAGTCTTGGAAAGTGGGACACACCCATGAGCAAATCAAAACAATATCAAAGCCTTAGAGCAGGGAGGGCTGAGCCCTCCACACAAAGCAAAGCTTCCTGAGGCAGGTGGATCCCCGCATGACCAATCAGGCTAATTTCTTAACAAAACAATGACTAAAAGGCAGACCGTGAGGAGGCATGGATCAGAGGGCTGCAGAAGTTTATGGAAACACAGATGAAAAAGAAAACTATGCATGTGTTTCAGTTTATTTTC